TTCAATACCTGAGTGACTTGTTTCATTGGATTATTATGTTTTATCGCACGTAAACTTCGCCAGCTGGAGTGGTACCAACATAGGCGAGTAATTGAGATTGATCGAGCCATGAATCGAGCGGGGCGGCGCAATCAAAAGCGTATCAGACCAATGGGCGTCCAGCGTCAATTCAACGGCGCTTCTCATTGGCCAGTCGCGGGGTTGTGAGGCATAAAGGGCCTTGATACAGCACTCGATAAGCAGTAGGCGTCGAATGTCGATTCAATCGATTATAACCCGTGTTGTAGTTAGCGAATGCGACCGGATAGGCCGTTAATGTACGGGAACATATTACTACTTTGGCCGTTTAACTTTCATTATACACGCTCTGTTGCATTAATTTGTTATAACATTTGTAATTGGCAATTTACATCAACAGCTTTACCTTTGAATTTATTGTTGTCGTAAAAAAAACTTCTGGTAATAAAAACCGATTCCAAATCAAGGTTACAAGAAGCAACACTTTAAACAGATTAACCGGCTAATCGTACGTTATTTATAATCCTTAATCAGACCGGAGGCGTTTGGTATCAAGATTTACGACACCCGCGTGTTAGTTACACAAAAGAATTAGCCCTTCTAAGCGACATCGAGTGCCAATAAAATATCGAGTGAGCCTCGAATAATCGACCGGGATGCAACACTGTAGTTATTGCGGTATTGCTAAAGAATCATTCTATACAAAGTTCCATAAACCACGCGTGCGTCCATAAAGTGAAATTTAGCATAAGGTTTCGTAGGAAAAGCAATAATTTGTCACAATTGGGCACGATTAGATTGGCTCTGCCGGCGATTTGACATACGTCGTAAATTACGTATTGACCGGCTATATCGAGTGAGCTGTCAGAGGCGGCAGTACTGGCTTAGTTGTGTGGGCTCTTACAAACGCCCGGGTTATGCAAATAGCGTGCGCAGGCGGCTAAGCGCACGCGCATCGAATCGCGCGTTTTCCGCCGCCGGCGCGGGGATTGCGTTTTGTGGAAATCGTTATTGGGGTGATTGCTTTCATAAACAATAGCTTTTGTCCACGGTTTCTTGTAACTAACTTGTTATTTTGTCGGATAGCGGGACTTTAAGCGTACTTCGTGTCTGATAGCTAGTTTTCCGTTTATGCAATTTAGCATTGTAACATGGTGGAGATCGTGCTTTATCTGCGCTATGTTAAATAGCATGTAATAAATTCACCATATATTTTCCTTAATATGGCCCTATAGTATTGTAAAATGTATTTATTTTCTAGATAATATTTATGTTGTCAAGTATCTAATACTATGGCAATTAGTAAGTGTGACTAAATATTAAGGGAAGACTGTATAAATTACATTTGTTTGGATGCATTTATTTAAGGTGTGTTTCTGTCACCAAGCAGTTATGTTTACATGGTTTCGTTTCGATATGCAGGGAGCGAGATGGCTTGCTTAATATGTTAGTATGTTACAAATTCCTCGTATTTGAATACCACGAATTAAATTGATTACTTTTGATTGATTCGATATATTTTCTATTATAGATATAGATATTCTTATAACACATCAAAGCTAATGTTATCACATGGTTTCGTCGACTAATATGCTTTGATCCACTTCCGACTATAAAAATTATAGACATTATACAAGATATCTTGTAGCCCAGGTTAATTTGGCACGAAATGCTATAAAAGATTGTTCTACAAAGCAACATAGTAGGGTTAATAAAAGTTGACTGTCAACGCACCGGCTATACGGTGTGGGTGGCGAGAGTTTGAAATGAGTTTACTTGTAATGTATAAGACCGCTATATAAATATACACATCTACATTATACTCGTAGATTAAGTGTAATTTTATTTGGTATTTGTTATCATGTTAGAAGACTAATGCAATAACAAAGAGAGACCAATGTAATGCATATGGCATATTGGACAAAAATATTTGTCGGATTTTCAAAACTCCAACGGTCACTCGTCTTTCTTTAGTCACTATCTCTTTTTTTTTTATTACTATTTTAAGGGCTTTTACCTTCTTCAGGTATATCAGTCCTATCGTACCCTGAACTGATTTGTCAAACAAAACTTTATCTACTTTCCCTAGACGCGGAAAGAGAAGAATTAATGGGCATCAATAATTTACAGAGATGTTCCAAAATTTCTGGTTTAAGTTCAGCTAACATAGATTGAATAAGATCAACACTAAATTTATTTAAGTTAAAGTGGCGCATGAATTCTTCTCTTTTCTTCGTGTTAATACGACACTCTAATAGCTATCCCTTATTTTTGCCATTTTGGGATTTTACCAGGATTGTCTAATTTTCTAAGTCAGCTCAATGATCAAGTTTTTTAATAGTCAATAATAAAATTGGCCATATGTGACGAGATAAGAAAGTGGCTGAAACAATAGACATTTTTAAATTAGAGTTTCTTTGGAAGTTTCTTGCTAATTTATAAAAGAATTGGTTTGAAGTTAGATAATATATTATTTAGCTTATTGCTTCGTTTTATTTGCTCCAATTCTGGCGCATCATGTTCCCGTTTTCCTTTTAACATGAACGCGGCAATTAATCTCTGAACGGGTGACGTTGTGCCCCCTACCGCCTTGTTGAGCCCTCTACCCCCTACCCCTCGGCCCAGATAACCAGGGAATGATTAACTACAGACAGGAAGACGGATTGACAAATAGTCGTTTAGGTATTCGCTAATGCCTCGTCCTCATCAATAAACGATCGACGAGATGGGAAGGGCCTGTTCGTTTGCTGAACTTGCAATCGCTTATTTGCTACGTTTGTTTTTGTTAGTCAAATAAATTAAGCGTAAGATCTAATAGGTAAAATAAATAGATACCTATATAGTTTCTGCTTGTAGAAATAAAAACTTAGGGAATATAATGGTAAGGGAGTTTTAAAAAGAGATGAATGGAGTGCGTGTAAGATGATATAGGTAGTCAACAAGAGAGTGAATATTGAAACTATTGCAAATCAAAATAGATCGAAGACGGCATATTACGGGCCAGAAACATGATGATGAAAAAGCAGTCAGAAGAATTCTTACAGCATATAGTATAAAATGTTTCATAATTATTGTGACGATCTAAGATTTAATCCAATAGGATATTTGTGGTTTCGTATTCATTTATAACTACCGATATATATAATTTGAAGTAGACACTAAACGTTACTATAGGTAGTAAGAAAAAAAAAAATACAAACCAAGATGGAACTATTATAAAATAGTGAATTAAATTTCTCATTCATTATTAGCTTGTTACAAAATTCTGTTACCAAGAAGGATCGAACAACATAATTGTCCATTATAAACAGGAATCAAAACTAGTTTTGTATAATAGGTATGTATATATACCTCATCACTCTGTAATGTAACTTTAAACATCAAATTATAGTATCTAAACCAATATAGTTTCGCAAAAATCTGCTTAAACAAACGCATCAAAATCTCTTTCATATTTAGTTAGTTACAAAATTCAGTTACTAAAAAGGACTAAAGAACTTTGTTCTCTACACAATTCCTCCAAAACTAGTCTTGAAATACCACTCATCACTCCGTAATAGAACTTTAAACAGCAAATTACTGTAAATCAACACCGCACCGCAAACAATCCGCTAACTTGCGACGTCTTCCGCGACGGCCACACGGTCTGCGCGGTCTAAATCCGGGACGGTAACGCTGCGTGCACGTCGTAAACGCGCAATCTAAGGTTTATCGCTCACTGAAAGTACATGCCATAGTTCCTAGTTCATAGTTCTTTACAGTGAGAGTTTTATAGTGAAAACTGGTCAATTCGAATTATGAATATTGTGCGTAGGTATTTTACATATTACTTTCTCCGGCGTCTTTAATACGTTCGCGTTCTTTTTACACTTATTATTGATATTACATTATCACATATGTTAGTTTGTAATATTTGTAAAAAGGTGTCACTTTCATATTAATTAGTGTAAGAAGAAAAACCGAAGTAAGAGCTTATGGAAAATCATCTGACTAGTTTGGTTACTATTTATATTATATCAGTTGTTATCTGCTAAACATAGGCCTTCCCATAAAGGAGGTTCTGACAGTTGTTGTCACGCTTGGGAGGCAAGTTGCCAATCGTAATTTTGGCTTTGGTGATATTTTAAAAAAGATGCTGCTATCCATCCCTTGACCACTAAATTTTCTTATTCGCCTTTAACCACTTCCACGGGAAAGGCAGAAGGCCCATTTTATGACGGAACCACACTACTAGGGTAGTAATATGCTTTTTTCATGGAAATATACCTAACACTAGAACGTTGATAGGTTATTAAAGGTAAATCGTAACCTTATAGTGTGGTGGCTTAGAAACTCTTGTCATTAGCAGGTGACACCTAAACACGAGTTAGTAGCTGGCGGTCCACTCGCTCCGTATGTTAAACGCCTTACATCGTAAACGTGCGATCCGAATCGCGCGCTGTAAATCATCGATCGAGCGATGCGATGCGATTTAACACGCTCAGCGGGTTTACTGCCCTTACCATGCGCTGTAAAGGGTTTTAGTGTTTTCTGCAGTGTTGCTTGCAGTTATCGATATAGATAGATCTACCGTGATTAACACGTTTCCTCATGTTGCTCGCACTGTATCCGGATGCAGTGTGTAATGAAAATGTTGCATAGAAATGATATAGGATTATGAACAAGCACATTACGCAAAGCTAACTAGAGTAATTTGACAGTGTAATATGGTACTTAACCTAGCGCTATATTACATTGACAAATAAATTTGTATATGATCATTAATAATAGACTTGGATTTATAAATTAATTTATTTAAAATAGTACCTATATGTCGAAATGGGTTTAGAATTAGCGAATAGAGAACATCACATAACATATAAAAACAAGCAGTTGAATTAATTATCTCATTTTTTCTTGGACTAATATAAAAATAAAGTACATATACATTAGTTGCAATTTGAATGTTGGACCTATCTAAATTTATATACGTATTGTTACAGGCACTCCAATAAATCGACTGCCCATCATGGCGAAATCAGTTCTTGATTTGTACGAGCTGTACAACCTGGTGATCGCCCGCGGCGGCCTGGTCGAGGTGATCAACAAGAAGTTGTGGCAAGAGATCATCAAGGGCCTCCGGCTGCCTTCCTCCATCACATCTGCCGCGTTCACTTTACGCACACAGTTAGTACATACTTTTATTGAACACATATTTATTTATAAAAATAGGAAATCAGTAGTATTTTTTAAGTATGGAAATGGAATATTAATCCGCTCGTGCTGTTAGTGTAAACGAGGGACCAGTGAAGGATAACAGATGAGGGTAAATGAATAAATGAAATTGGTTTTTTTATGGATAATAATGAAATGACAACTCCACCCGCGCTAAATGTATCCACTGACGGGGCACCAGTGATGATTGGTAGGTGAAGATGAAAAGGCAGGTCAGTTAGCCCATTGTGATGAATACACCTGGAATTCAGTATGATAATTTTTAGGGGGGACTACGTAGAGGTCGACCTGACAGGGTATATTGATAGTAATGGGACTAGTAGTTCATATTACGAATAAGCCCTTCCTCCTAATAAAGTTTGGTTATTTGGCTTGTCATGACGAATTCAGTAACCTTTACCAATCATCTCCTAGTTAGTATTCTTAAACTGTTACAACAGCGTAGGGACCTATACATAAATGGTGAACATAACAGTTAGCATGCTATGTTGGTTTGGATATAATAGTATGAAAATAACATGAGACCAAAGAATGATGAGGGTGGAAAATAATGATTACAGAAGTGCAGAAATATACAGATTAGGAATTTATTAAATGTAAATATTAAATGAAATTCAAGTGGACCTTACTCAGTCAGTGGATGCCATCATTGAGTCTTAACACTCAGAATTTATGACGTGACTTCAAAGGACGGAATTAGTTGATAATCAAAAGCATTTACGCCTTCACGTATCCTAAAATCATTTAATACTGTCGTAAACCAAATAGGAGTATTAGATATTATTGTGAAAGGATTGTCTGTGGTTTAGGCTATTACAAAGTGTTCAATAGGCCATGTGTGGTCCAAGAACAAGCCAGAAGCCGTCGCTCCATATTCGACATCATTTCTTTGTATCACTCCCTCATTTAAATTCTCACGACTGAGAGACAAAACCTTGTCCACAATGGGTCGTACGTGAACGTCCGCGACAATGTGACAACTTCATAATTAATAACCTCTAACTCATCTCGATATAATTTCCCATTTATCTTTCCGGCGAGTTCCTTCACCTCTACAGCTTTTGTCGTATGACATAAAGGTATCTCACATTTCTAATTCAAGATGTGCACCGTTACGCACGACGCGTGATTTCAAACACTTCTCTACTATTACAACATTTGAGTTAGTTTGTGCCAGCCAGCGAGTGATACTATCGGGAGCTATCCACAATTAGTAGGTACAGTTCGAATACTAATGCCTATGTTATTTTTGAAGCAACTATTTTTCTATTACACTCGTAACATACCGTGGTTTTGGGCGTTCGTAAAATTAGACGGGCGGTAATGACGAATGGCGTATATTTAGATTCCTACTTTGACAGTTCTTCAAAAGGTAGCCACGTTTTTATGTGTCGGCCCGCTCAAAGATTCTCATTGTGTTCTGTATTAAATATGTGAACGCTTAATATGAATTATGGTAACGAACAGTTGACAATATGTTCTTATAAAATCGACTCGACTCTCGAATAGGATTAAGAATGTAATGTGACGTTCCATTATACGTTTGAAGGATACGCTTTTGATAATAATTGGTCTTGAAATATGATTTATAAGTTCTTCATGTGTTTCGTATGAGGCGATAGGTACGTTAACTTAATGACATCATTAGATCACTTCGGGCTTAGAAGATTGAATGGTGTCACTGTCATTATAATATTCTAATTTATTACTGAGACGTTTATGAATATTGTTAGATTGTTGGACGATGTTATTAATATTCTTTAAGTATATTCTTTGGTGTCAACGATTTATAATACTTACAGTAATTATTTAGGTACTTGCACTTATTTATTAGTGTTTTCATATTGTATTTATCAGTGCTTTAAAGTTTTTCTAAATTATATTATTAGGGACAAATAAATTCGATTTTGCCGCATTATTCTCAACGGCTAAAGCCGATACTAATTCTAATAACGTATGTTACATAAATGTTGAAAGAACATCTTATTTCACACACCAAATCGTCCTCGAAATTTATTATCGATTTATTAAACTAAAACTATAACATAAAAAGTAAAGTCTTTATTTTGTGTGGACAAATTACTGTAATATGTTTTATACATTTATGTTTTTGTTCTCATTATATGTGTTAATTATATTCTGTTGGAGTTCTGTGATTTGGTTATTAGCAGAAAATATTTATAATTAATTTTATCTATTTCAAATCTATTGTGTCTTTAGTATATAAATTTGTATTAGTAAATTGTACCGCCTTTTGCACCGAAAGGGATAAAAAGTAGCTTCTATCCTTCTTCATATCATGTAGCACGTATATATTAAATTTTATGAAAGCAAACTCACTTTCAAATTTATAATATTATTTGGGATGTGGAATAATAATTTAAATAAATTGTTTCAGATACATGAAGTATTTGTATGACTATGAGTGTGAGAAGAAGAACCTGTCCACTAGGAGCGAGCTGGACGCAGCCATAGAAGGCAACAAGCGGGAGGGACGCCGCGCCTCCGGCCAGTACGATGCGCAGGCGGCGCTAGCCATGGTCGGTCTGATAAATGTAATTTAAATACATAAGTTATTATTTAAATTTAGTTTTAACTTTATTTCCGGGGGTTTAATTGTGTTTTAAATGAAAGTCTTATTTAACTGTCTTATTGAAACGTTCCAAGCAAGCAAAAGGTGACCAAGTATTGTAAAAAATATCGTAGAAACTTTGTTATTAATAAAATTAGTTACATATACAAATTTTCATTCGATTAATTAATTTTTGATTTGTACTAAGTATTGAACATCAGAAGACTGTCTTAGGGTCGTGTCAATTATTAGTTTGGTTACATTTTTATAAGGTTTTATTTAAATTGATTATACTAACACCCAATACATATACAATATATGATATGTGTATCATGCTTGTTTTGGTATGTCCTATTAATATTATAAATGCAAAAGTTTGTAAGGATCGCTGGAAAGGGATGGATGTTTGTTACTCTTTCACGCAAAAACTACTGAACGGATTTGAATGAAATGTGGCACACACGTATCCTAACTTAGCACATAAGATACTTTAAGTTCAATATAGAAACATAATATAAAACTCTCTGTTTCTCCACTTATGTTTACTAAACCATGCAACGGATTCTGCTCGTGGAACCCATTTATTATATAAATGATTAATAATAAAATTTATTCAGGATACAACATTTCTGATGTAAAGAATGTTACATAATCATGCATAATAAAATAAATGAATAGGTATCATAGTATTGTACAACTATTTATAATATGCGTCTGACCAATATATCGATATCGATAAGTATCGTGAACGTCGTAACTACTTTATACTGAAATATATTTCAAATTCAAAGAACTGGATACATAGATTTGATACAAACGTTTTTTATTCGAAGTGATGCACGCCTGATGTAGCTACTTGTTTTCATGAATGTTGACAATTCATTTTTTATTTCAGCCGTCGCTCAACCGCGGTGTTCCAGCGTCTTTAGCCCAGTTATCCCAACACATGCAGCCTCTCTCGCTCTCCCTGGCAGGTGGGGTGGGAGGAGTGCCCCGTCTTCCTCCTCTCCCACCGCACACTCCCCACATATCACAGCATGACATCGAGTATCGTGTTAGAGAATATATGAAAATGATACAGCAGCAGAGGGAACTGATGAGGAATGGTGAGTTTTAACTCTAAACCTTGTTTAAGACTACTGTAGTTGTAAAGGAGACCATTATTAGATAATTTATGTAACGTATTAAAAGATATAAATTGAAATAGAAAACAGCACGGCTGATTAGTTTACGGCAGGAAAATCATGTTTTAGTGGAGTCACATTTATTATTATTATTTCAGCCGTTAATTGTTCACCGCTGAATGTAAGCCTTATGGAGAAATAAGGGGAGTTTTGCCAGTAGTTGCCACGCTTTTTAGGCGCGTTGGCAACCGCAGTTAGACTTTTAGAGATGTTTTAAGAGGGACGCTGCTGCCCGTCCCTCGCTCTTCTTTAGTCGTCTTTTCGACACCCACGGGAAAAGAAGGGGGTGGTCCATTCTTTGCCGGGGCACACGCGGCACAGAGTCACGTTTAATCCATGTAAATTAAAATAGAATGTCGTGGCAAGCGCATCATTTTAGTAAATATTTGTAATAGGTAATCTTATAATGTTTTTATTATGAGAATAAAAAATACACTAGGTATTTTGCCCTTTAGATCGAAACAACAATAATTCACATATTAGGTACTGTCCCACTTGAGAAATACTCAAAACTATCAGTTATGTAATTTTGACTGCACATTTCATTGGACAGTTCTGATTATGCGACCAGTCCTCTCTCCTCCAGGGTCAGAATCTCCGCCGGGCATCAACGGGCCTGCACCGATGATCTCCCCGCGAGATGCGGCTGCACTCAACGCAATGGATGTGTCCCGGCTCACATTGTGGTCAATTTACAACAACAACAATAATAACAGCCCCCAGCCGGATTTGGAGCCACAACGGTAAGACTTTAAGACTTTTTTTTAATTCTATAAACTTTAAAATAAGTCTTTTTGTAGATACATATGCACTTTAGTACGAGTAGAAATAAGAATCGGACGAAAATAAATATGAGGAGAGATCGGTTTCTATCTGAGGGAGGAGTCAAGAGTTATCAGTATACTCTGTTATGTCCATGGTACTGCTCATGTCTATAGGCGACGGTTACCACTTTACATCAGGTGGGCCGTCAGCTTGTTTGCCATTCTAAGTTGCATAAAAAAAAATCAGAATCGTCATGTCGCATAAAACAAGAGATGACAGTGAGTGGAGCATGAGATTTATGTGAGAATATAGGTCTCTGGTATTCGGTTCTTTCTGCCAATTATTAAGGAACTTAGAGTTCCTTTTTACTTATGTACTCATATCTCTCTGTCTACCCTAAAAACCTGGTTTAAAGATATAAATAGATAGGAAGCAATATAGTACGTAGTCATACCCAATGAGCGACACAAATCTTTCATTTAAAATTTTCATCGTTTTTAACACATAATGGATTGATATTCGCTTACTGGATATCCCTTTCCCACACCTATATTTCCTACTAAACAGAGTATTAGCTCTGTTTGTTTGTTTTACATACTATATGCCAGTTTACAGTATGAGATTTGGCAAACGACAGGAATGTCATTACATCTGGGGTACCGTGGTAGTCGTATTATCTTCGTACTAGCGTTCATATCTTTAGACGATGGTTGCTTTTCATTAGTTGCCGTCAGTCAGTTATATAGTAAAGTCTAGCCAGGCACTATAAAAATGGCTGTCGTCGACAGAGAGGCGCTCAATCTGAGTGAAAGTCCCAACTCCAGTGTAAGCGGTGGCAAGCGTGAAGCGTGCCGGTCGCCGCCGCCGCCAGCTAAGCGGCGCTCCTTACGGCCACCGTCGCCTTCAGCGCGCGCCAGTCCACCGCACACTCCAAGCGCACCCAGCACACCTCGGGAATGTCTGCCTGCAACACAAATCAATGGCAATACGCCAACTAACGGTGTGAATGGGGCCGCATTCAAGATCACCACTAGAGGTAAGATACTATAAAAGCGAACTTAAACCAAGGAATAGATTCCTTGTTCTTTCTTATCTCTTTTATTTTTATGATGATTGATAATTCGTAGTCGATATTTCCATTCTCTGTTGTTTAAAGATAGGTTTATTGTTGTTCTTTAATGTTGTTTATATTTTTAATTTAGTTTTGAATACTTATTCATGAGCCTGCTGTTATTATAAGATTGTGTCTACTTCTAAGATTAAGTACCGGGATTATTTTCCTACGGTGAACCCCAGTTATGTTTTGTTATACAATTAAAATGCGAATTGCTAAAGAATTATCATAGTCATAGTCATCTGAAATCTCTATAGTCGACTATGGGCTGAACCATACATCTCTCATTTCTATGAGATTGGTTTTGGTAATGGTTTGGTGGAACTACGATTTTCGAATATTTATTTATTTGTGTATACTTATACTAGTAACCTTTTTATTTCAGGTGATGCAAGTACAGGTGATCAACAACTCGTTGTATCAATAGAACTGAACGGAGTCACATACGAGGGTGTCCTCTTTCCGACACAGGATAGCAATGGCCAAAATGGCCACAGGCCAATGGTGTCCTAAATTTGAGGCAATAACAATAATAGCAATAGTGGTAAGGATAGTTTACGTCTTTCAAGTTCCGAGTCACCCGTTATTACACTGTAGGGAAACAAGTAGATTGTTAACGAATTTGTCTATGCTTGTGGAGAAAATTAAGCGGGAGAATGTGATGTTCTGTAAACGTTTTTGTCTATGGTAAGAGCAAACAATCTTTGTTACTCCGTTTTTCCCGACACTCTTCTCAAACATAGGCAAATCATTCGTCATCAATCTACAAATTGATCAGGTTAGGTTTATATCTGAGGCATAGGTTGTGCTAATCGACAAGTACCCATTAACTATTTTTCCTAAATATCGAGACTAGCCAAGAAACTCGTAGGTTCAGAAACATCGGCCTACTATATTATTTGGGTACTAAATTATTTAAAAGCAAATGTAATGATAGAGTCTATTTAAAAAAAAAAAAGTAATATTATTGTCTATGTTTATTATTAGATATAAACCCAGCCCATGTACATTCGATAAAGTGGTTTACAAATTTTGATCTCAAAAACCTTGCTAGGGTATTTGGGACTGGAAAAGCAGATAATAGTATTTTGTAATTTTAAAACTCAAATTTGAAGTAAGTACAAAACTTATCATTATATTGTTCTTTTGGGCGTTTTAATAATTTATCATAGTATGGCACGGCATTGCAGTTTCACCAGCGATGCCACATTAACTACATACCTAGGGTTGCCATCTTTAAAATTTGGCAACCAGGACAAGACGCGTGAAAACCCCGAATTTTAGAGCTCAGAATAAGGATATAATAACAGGTTTTTTTTAAACATAGTGACCATGCGCTGTCGGTCAGGATATTGTAAAGGCATTTGATTGAGTCTGGCATCGAGGTTCTAGTCCGGATCGAGTATAAATTGTCCTACTATTGACTTTCCGACAGCTTGTATAAAAAGATTGCCAGCTTTTTGTCGGGGTTCTTCAAGGGGGGGGGGGGTAACATGGTTTCTTCAAGGTCGGTAACGCATGTGTAATACCCCTGTTATTGCAGTATATATGGTATGATATGTAATGATCTTAGTATATATAGATAGTGTCTCCATACAAATTCTTCGAGAAAAGCGGGTAAATTTTTTCATACAATTTTGCGTGATCAATGGTAATGAGTGTTTCCTTTATAACTTCTATATTTATTTTGTCTTATATTTTTTGCATCTTTCTAATGCGTAAAAACTTGTTTTATTTATTAAATAATTAAATACATATAGGTCACGATACATTATATGCATAAGTATATAGAACATTGATAAAAAAACAAGTTAGCTTTTTTTGTCAGCTAATTATCAATTTGTCAATTAGTTGACAAAAAAATTGTACCTGTGACTATTGGTCCGATCTAACACTAATCAGCGTTGAGATGGAACGTGGAAGCCTAGATAGCGTTCGGGAAACTGTAGTACATCTCATTCAAAAAATCTCAAAGTTAGGTTAGGGAACCAGTACCTGTTATCAGTATTGACTGTATAGAACCGAAACACAATGGACGTAGGTGGTGAAGGACCGTTCCTTTCTTTCGGTAGTCTATTAGGGGAGGCCTATGTTTAGCAGTGGACAGATAATGGCTGCTATAACTATCTTGCCGGGGGGAAAAGGGATTGTTAGTAATGGCGTCTAATGAACACATTGCTAGCAATACACCTTATCAGGTCGACCTCCACGAGGTTCCCCCTGGAAACCATAGTGAAAAATTCTTATTGAATTCGTCACGCTGGGCTAACTGACCCGCTTCATCCTCACCTATCATGTCTCACTGGTGCCCCGTTAGTGTATACCGATAGCGCGGGCGGGGTTACCATTCCATTATCACCCATTAAAAAAAAAAAAACTATCTTGCCGGTAAAATCGTGTTGTGAAGTGTCGTGCCGTGTTATGGTAAATTGTAAAATCGTATTTTGAACTACATATATCATTAATATGTACTTAGTAGTCGTTTTACATATGATTAAGTGTCATTTTTTACTTTCAGTGTTTATAGTTCATGGATATTATAATTTTTTTTACGTCACTGCCATGGAAAGAACGTGAAATTATTTAAAACAGAATCATTTTCTACATGTTCTTTAGTGGATGTTTTTATACAATTATTTTAATAATTTTTTTTTTTAATTGCGACAAGTTTTGTAAATATAGTTTTAACGTTATATATTTATAATTCAATGTTTGACGTATGTGTGATAAATAATCAGTGTTTGTCTGATTTTTCGTGCTTGTGTTGTAAATTTATGTAAATATTATAAATTGCGTATATTAGAGCATTTTTACAACGTCAGGTAGACATGTTTATGATTATTCATATTTTAAAAGGTGTACATTTTAATCGTCGACTATGTTGTCAGTATTTTTTTTTAGATTTAGGTACCTATTTATAATAATGTTTCTGTTGCGCTTTCTTTTCGTGAACGTCTGTACACGTGCTGTAATCATTATAATTTGTTTTAGTGGTATAATGCTGCGACTTTTTTTTTATGCAACTTATAATGGCAAACAAGCTATCGGCCCACCTAATGCAAAGTGGTAACCGTCGCCTATACACTAAAATTACATTAGTAATAAAAACCAGTTAAATGAGTGAATTTTATCAAAATATATGTGTGGTTAGTTGCCATTTTCTAAAATAAAATACGAAAAATGATATTTAAATATATCATCGATTCAATATTTATTTTTATTCAATTACTGGTAAGATGTTATATTACCGTTGATTTCTCGAATATATTAATAGTATCTTGACCCGAGCAATTTGTCAAATTTTTTTTAGTAAAGAAATTTAGGCCAGCACCAACGAGGTAGGTATAGTTTATTTCAATGGAATTTAATAAAAAGAGATCCAAGTTTTGTTGTTATTTATTACTGTTTTTATTAGTTGATATTGGATTGTAAGTGAGTGGTAGAATCGTTAAAAAAGGGACACTTCAATAAGGTTACAAACTTTATTGAACTGTCATTAATTTTTATTTGATTGATGATAAAACTTCACACTACAGATAATTATAATTTTAACTCACATTTTTTTAATAATAAATATAATTATATATAATATGTATATTGAAGATACACTCACTAAATGAAATTAGTAATAAATAGGATCGTTCTATAAATTAATCGATTTTTAATTCGATCTATACTATAACTATTGGACATTAGCAGATTTATGTCTGCATTAATTAATCGTTTCTTTACATTTTCATTAAATTCTGTTGAAGTACACCATACTGTTTAACCAGGGAGGCCATAATTTGGGCTAGCTGCGGACTATCAGGTCCCAGGTATGCAATACAATTTCACGTGTTCTATTTTGATAGACAAAAATGTACGCCAACGATTGTGTCTCATTAGTGCCGGCTCTTAGATATTCTTTTTTAACAATTGTATTATATTGTTGTTTCGAAAACATGTGTTTTTTTTTTATTATAATTTGCACTTAACTAATTAAATGTATATTCAGTTATATTGTTCAATAATGACTGACGTGATGAGTCGGAGTTAATTTCCCGATGAGAAAAACGAATCTTTTATTTTTCTTATTTTTTTTTTATCATAACAAATGACACGTTTTTAAAATTTCCTACCAATTATATCCGTATGTTAATGATTGGTGAACAGAATAATTTGTTAAATATATCAATTAATTTAAAGATAGTGCAATAAGCAAAATTTAAATTATTAGAATTAATCTCCAGTTTTACAAGCTCTGGTGTCGTAGTGTTGTAATAAATAATTTAAAAATGCTTTGTAAATGACTGATTTACTGTTTTTATCCTATGTTAAATTAATGTAATTAATTTTAATATGTAAAAATTCATTTATGTGTTTTAGTAATGCATAATTTGATTCAATTAGATGTAGATTTAGTACATTCCTGAAGATGTACAATATATTAAGAGAATAATATGCGACTGGCCTACATTTATGTAAGGGTAGGAAGTGGCCAGCAGATTACGCGTAAGCGATTATTACACCAAAAAAAAAATAATGTATTCAAACTATATAAATAAATAATTATGTATGACAGTAATACATTTTTCATTGAATTCCCATTTATATTTAACATTCCTCTTTATAAAATAAAAACTTATAGCAATTAGACAGTCTTTTATTTTAATTTAATAAATTTATAAGATATAGCTGTCAGAAGAAGACACTGACTATAACGTGGGACAACGTACTTCGAAACGTTGGCAATAAAAAATCAGGTATGTAGGCACGTAATCGCGTTGTTAATTTCCGATAGTTAATTTAAAATATGATATTCGTTATTTCATTTCAGAATGAATTCATTGTGGATTTTCAGTAGTGCCAACATATAAATGAAATATATTTGAACCGTGATTAAATAGTTTTTAATCTAAAACAATAAAAAATAGGGCAAATTAAAACACACGAAAAATTTATCCACGAGAGTTGAAAATATAATAATTGATAATGCAATTAGGCCTATGTAAATATAGTATTAATATTATGTAATGAATAAATATTGTAGTGTTATATACAGATAACTTTATATACAACTAGCGACTCGCCCCGGCTTCGCACGGGTGCAATGCTGGTACTAAATATAACTACCTACCGCCGGTACCGCCGCGCGCCGCACCGCTATGTCCCTGCAATTTAAATCTGTAATATCTTCAGAAATATTCATTTAAATTACATGCTAAGGCCATATTGATCTATATTAATGCTGTATTATTTAAAATCACTTCGTAAATAAACCATTTTTTCCGTAAAATGTAAACAATAAAAAATGGTTATTGTGGGTTATCCTTAAGAGATAGACATATACCATCCTGGACTTTTTTTATTGATATTTAGGTGTACAATACTGTAGTACATTATTCTGATTTATCTCATGGGGTTCCACAAAAATTAATTGTGACTAAATCCTGTAGAAGGTCGACCTGATAGAGTATATTGCTAGCAATAGGCCGTTAGCTGCTAGAGTTAGTTGTTGGTATCAGGTTCGCTGGGTAACGTGTGAATGTGTACGTGTGTTTATTCATTAAATATCTCCATTGTTGCCTAAAGTGGGTAGTGATAGAAAAAAAATTAGTAGATAAAATTATAGAACAAATTTATAATTATCTTTAATTTATGTGTTAAAATTTGGTAATTATTCAATTGTTTTTAAATACAAGCGATTTTTGCCAAATAAGAAAAAAATTAAGATTTTTGCCAAAAACGAATTAAACACAAAAAAATATATAACTAGTGTCACTCGAAATGATGATAATGATTTTAACGATACATTATAATAATATTAGATTTATTTATCTTCTCCACAAATTTTACTATGCATTAAACTGTGTTAAGACATTTACAAGATATGGTAGAATAAACTTACATACATATCTGAACTCTAAACATCCTTTTGGTTGGTGGCGTAATATAACAGAGACATCTAGTTTTGTACAAAGGATATAAATATTTGCCAAAGTATTTGCTTTTTATAGCGCCATCTATATACTAATTGTGGTATTAACTTCAAAGTTCGTGGGGCAACATTTTAAAGATTTATATTTACAATATGTACCAATAGATGGCGCTGTAAATATTTTATATTTATTTATAAATTTGAGATTTGCAGTATTACTATCAACATAACAAATAAGTGTAATTATAAATAATTTTAAAAATGTTAATAATCTTCAATAGAGATTCAAAATAAAATATGTCGATAGCCCGCACATTTTGAGTTTCTTTTTAATATTTTAGAGAGAGGTTTTTTTTAATGGGTAAAAACGGCATGGTAACCCCGTGTGCACTGTTGGTATACTCTGGCGGGGTACCAGTGAGAAGTGATAGGTGAGGATAAAATGAAGGTCAGTTAGTCCATCGTGACGAATTCAATGATAAATTAGTCACGATAGTTTCCAGGGGAACCGCATGGAAGTCAACCTGATAGGGTATATTGCTAGCAAAGGGACTATTAAACCCAATTAATAACAATCCCTTTCCCCCTACATTCTAGAGGTTTTACCTTTTTAGTAGATAACTCGAATTCACTTATTAGATTTTATTTAGTTAGGTTTACATTTAACTCATATTAAATTGAAATAAAATATAAAGTTCATTTTAAATAAAAAGTAAAGCTAATAGTTATTTATAAAATATGAAAAAAAAAAATGTAAAAGAAAAGGAAATGTAACTAAAATGACCACTTGTCTATTGAAACTATTAGACATTGGGTGAATTTAGGTAGTAACAAAATAAAAAGAACAAACAAATTTCTATCTTTAAATATTTATTCATAATATTCAATTCTTAAAAGTCATAATTATAATCAACTGTAGATGGTAGGTATATAATTGTGATTAGTGCGTACCAAGATTTGTGTACACTTTGACGTAGGGTTGTCAAATATCTACTATTATATTGAGCCAAGATATTATTATTTTCTCTCTATTGTTGTAATCATACGTAGTAGTTTAAAATTATATTTTAGTGAGACAGTAAAAATACTCAATACACTTCAGTTTCTCAGTCTTGTCATCTTTTGAATACAACTGTGACTTATTAAATAGGAGAAAGAATAATAAGGCCCCTTTCAGTAATCCCTCTAGTGATTTTCTTTTACTTAGAGTATTCCTACATAGGTACTTATTTTTTATTTATGTATCGTTAATTAATCAATTAAAAGAAATTGTTTACAGGTAATTCGAAAATTTGACAGAGGTTGGAATCGTTGTGTACCTAAACTATATAGAGTCAAACACTTTATATAAAAATAAATCAGATACTATTTTATTTAAGTCTAATATTTTGTCGGCACTAAATGTAAATCTCCTACATATTTATATTATTCTTGACATTTTTAGTAACCCTGCTTTGACCCCAATAGAAAAAGTACTGCGAGAGAGACATTTGTGTCTCTCTGATTTGGATTTACGGCTGGCTAAAAAAGTGAACACATTAACCTAAGCAGATATTGTTGTGGGAGGGGTGGGCTTTAAACCTATTTACTTAATCTAGTATTTTAATTTAATAATTTCGGACTGTTTTAAGAATAATCATAAACTAATTATACTGATGTATGTATATGTATGTGTATGTATATGGGTGTGTATATGTAGAAGTATATATGTATGTATGTGTATATGTATGTATATGTGTATGTATGTATATATTTCATATGTATTAGTTTGTAATGTACAGATAAATACTACAGTGATGGAAAATTACGTATTGTTCGTTCAAAGCTAACAAAGAATATTGTTATATGATAAATATGTTATAAGAAAGTATCTTAACTAAATAGAGCGATTACAGCTTTGTTTGCTATTGATTAAATAATGAGTTGTTATAAACTTTGGATATTTACCTAATGGTCACTATGCTAACATATGTTTGTAATCTTATATAAGGACCTCCCACCCTTAAGAAGTTCAGTTGTTGTCCAGTTGCAGTTGCTTTACAATTACCAAGCTATTCAGTAGCTATTATCATAGTGTTGATAATAATAATAATAATAATAATAAATTTATTTCTTTATACAAAGGTAGTTAGTTACATTACAGGGTTTGGTATCTCCTGTTAAGCAAAGATTGCTTGTGTTAGGAGAAACCGCTCTTTCATAACAATAATTAAATTTCATAATCATTACAATTTACTTTTCTTTTTTTTAATCAGCATTAAAAATTTTACTTTGTTTTACTTTTATACAATAATACTAAAAAAATTACTTATCATAAAAATAGAAAAAGTGTCTATTTATGATAATAAATGTGCTCGTGTATATGTGCTTGTTCTTGTGTGTATGTGTGTGTGCGTGCGTGAATGCGTGCGTGTGTGTGTGCGTGTGTGTGTGCGTGCGTGTGTGTGTGCGTGCGTGTGTGTTCATTAAAACTTATAAATATTCTTCGGCAATCTTTTCTTCTGACGACCCGAACATTACAAGTTTATCCACATATATTAAAAGTAATGTTTATGAATTATATGTGCATTTCTTATAATTATATTATATATATTATATTTATACTGTGTATTGCCTTAATGTGTTACTATATTTGTCACATATTTTTCACCACATTTGCCCTTCATACGCTTTCTGTTTTTACCCAATGTTTAGCTAGTAGAGAATGCCATATGGCATTAAGCTCGCCATTTGTACAAAGTTTTATTGTGCAATAAAGAATAAATAAAATAATAAATCTATAATATTTTTTACTTTAATCTATTAGAAATTTAACTAATACTGGTTCATATAATAAAAAATTTCGTTGTGATATCAATTCGAAATTTTAATTTTAAAGATAGATTTAAAGAAATGGCCCATCAGATTCGGTTCTAATGTAATGCTCTATATTCATTCGTTTAATTATACAAACCAATAAAATATACCTCGAATTACGCCAAATTTTCGTCTCTATGTCGAACGACAAGAATTGTATCTATGTAATTAGTAACACCATATCCATAATCGTCTATACGCTCACAACATTCTACACAATTGTGTGAATCACTATAATGAAAAACATTACTCTGTAACTGAAGTGTAATCTGTGCTCGTATGTAATACGTTCGTATGTAAATAGCTTTTACTCCTTTGATTTAAGGTTTCATTTCCATCTACAGATTTAACCAAGCATGAAAGGATAATGAGCAAATTGTTTAAAGATATGGCCGGTGTCTTGACAGATGAAATCTGCGTACAATGTTACCTTGTTAGTGTACGAGGCGTATATAATCGATGTTTTTTGGTCTACTGCAAATTGTCAATCATTTTCTATTATTATTTATTAATGGTTTTGTTTACATATGACAGTCTAATGTCGTATATTAGAGTTAATTGTATACTATTTCTATTTAGTTGATGGCCTTCATAAATGGCCTCGAAACATTGTAGGTAATATTTATTCAAAATTTTCCAATATCGAAATTTCATTATCATAATAAAAGTCTTTTGCAAAGAAGAATAGTGACAAAACTAATATTTCTAAACTGATACTAAAGAAAACTTTTTGGATTCTAAAAAAAATAATCAGAATTAGTTTAAGATTGATGATAATGTGTCTATAGAGATGAAACTTTCTCATTTTTCGGAATTGGTTTGATGGAATGGTTACATTTTATTTGTTGGTATATTACTAT